CCGCTACTAGGTCTTTTGCAACTTTGCGTCCGTCGCGCTGAAAGAAGCAGACACAATAGGACAAATAGCGCGGGATGCTTTCTCGGAGACCGGGAACAATGGGGAAAAGTTTTTGTCGCAGAGTTTCCGCACGAAGAGTCCGTTGATGATCGAGAGAAAGCACGGGGGATATATGTATATGGGTGAATTAGCGTTTCTCGGCGATTATTCGCGCTTCACGCGAGATTAAGTGTCGTCGATATGTACACTGTTTATCCATCCGATGGCTTTTCGCGTTCTAATCGATTGTTATATGCGTCTCGTGCAACTGCTCGCGTTAAATAGAAAATAAACAGTTTGTAAATCCGCCGATCTCTGCACGTGTGTAATACAAGTTACATTTCCTATTTTTTCTTTTCTTTTAGGATTTTCCAGCGACATATCTCCTAAATAGAGTTTGATGGAGAAAAGTCTCTTTTGACTTTTTAATTTTCCGTGTTAAAATCTTTTTTTAATCGTGAATCAAGGCACAGGTTTACAAATAATTAAGTTTAAATTGATTTGATTTGAAAACTTTATTGCGTATTTGATCTTTATCGCGACTCGATTTGTTCTTTTGTTCTCGTGGATTTAAATGTGGTAATCAGAAAGTCGACGCAAAAATTACACACCAAAGCTACTCTTGGCTCATCGCGCGCGATCGCACTCGTCTAGATCTCGCAACTAGAGTCGTCTATTGGGCGGATGACTCAGAGTCGCAGCGCACGAGGCGATTATCTTGATAATGCTAAGGTACTGAAGACGACATCGTGCTCCAGTTACTAATTGTACATTTCGCGCAGTGGTTAGTCATTCGCTCTTCTAGGGATAGCTTCAGGCGAAAGCGCCTTAACATTATCTGGAACGGTCCAAACTAACTCACTGATCTTATATGGAAATATTCATGAGAACTTAATTAATATTAGTGAGACACGTTTTGATCAAAACATCTTTTTGTACATGTACGTTAGTAATTTAAAAAATATCCCGATTAATTAAGGAAGCTTAATACTTATTGTCTTGTAAGAGAATCACATAATTTTCTTAGCTTTCCCAATATACTTATATTTGTATTGCGATGTTATCAAATTATATTTGTTTTGTAATATAAATATTTATAATTATTTTTCTAAGTATTTGTAAATTGTGAAATTATGCACGGAAAAAAATTAGAGCTATACTTAAATTTTAGCTGTGAGAACTAAATTTCAAATAATAATATAGAGACAGCTAAAATTTAATTATGATAGCTAATTTTTTTTGTGTGAAAGATAAATTTAGAATCAAAGGCAATATCTTTATCGAATTTTGTGGTCTTTCTCTTTCGAATTTTTGTGTATTTATATAAATTAGCTCGTACACGCGTATCTCAATTACGTTTACTTGACAGACTCACAATGAAATTGGAATTGACGGAATAATCAGTTCAGTATCCATTCCGTTCTATTAGAACAGTTAACGTACACAGAACAACGGGAGCGTCATCGTATAACGGATGTCTATGAGTTCTAGGAATTGTCTGAGCTCATGACGCACAGTGGCGGAAACCCGTTCAACTTCACATTAATGAAACGTTCCTGCGAAAATAACAAAATCATCTGAAAATCAGTGCTATATAAAAAACAAGAAAATTTAAAAAAATTTCAAGATTATTTTTGTATTCCTTGTTTTTTCTCAAATCTGCTTCTCTCTATTAAAGCACATTCTCTTCTCTTCGTTCGCAATCGACGACCTATTGCAAACCTATCATCAGCGAATGTGTTTAAGGCGTATCGCTGCATTTGACGCGAATTATCGAGATTAGCGGGACGGGGAATAGTATTTGGCGTTGTTGCATAAGAGTCATGGTATCATAGACGATGCATTTTTCGCTTCCTGATGTTACGCGGGCGCGAGAAAAGTCCATGACGAAAGAGAGAGAGAGACGTAAAACGCAGTGAAAGAACAGCGATTATCACAAGAGGGCGATGCGGCCGAAACGAGCTTCGCCGTTACTTTCCTCTCGTCAGCATCGTCGGATGCATTCACTCTTTCGCTCTTTCAACTCACTCTCTTTCGCCCTCGCCTTCACCCCCATTTGTTCATCGCACCAGTCGACGTCTCTTTCCACTCTTGACCGAGCGACCACCTGCGATTAGACGAGTAACGCCCTTCTGCTCTCTCGCTCGAGAAAACCCGCGAAAGAAAGAAGAGAAGAGAACAGCAGTGAATCAATCTTAAAATCGACACGTAGCGATTTTAAAAGAGCGTATGTCAGTCGATTGAAATTCTTAAACACGAAGTGATGCGTGACGTAGGCATTCTCGGATTTAATAGACGACTTTCAAGAACTCATCATTCATATTACGCACGTTTCAATCATCGGAACACTTAAATATCTTTCTTGAAATTCATGTACAAAGAAATGTGTAGCAAATGCAATTTAAATAAGCATATAGACATATAATAATTTTATTCCTCTCTGTTATATACCATTCTATGAAATATTATTTCTATTGTTATAAATCTTTTAGTCGTTCTAATTATGATATGCATTTCTACTTTTATAGGTGATACAACAACAGCAACAGCAGCACATGGCCGGCGGAATGGGTGCTGTTGTAAGACCGCCACCACCTGAATACAAAGCTGCGGCTCAAGCACAGATGATGCACGCTAGTATCGGAATGGGCCAGCAAGCGAGGTTCGCGAATGCTGGATCTATGCGCAGAGTTACACAACAACCTATGCCACCGTCAGGTTAGTTTTAAAAAAAATTTAGCTGGGTCACATCAATCCCTTTACACATTCATTAGGTGCTTTCCATTTAGCAACACAAGTCGACACAAGCGTCATTCTATCTTTATTCAATAAAGCTTGTGCCGACTTGTGTTGCTAAACGGAAAGCACCAATTGTTCCTTCATTTATAATTGAACTGCCATATTACGAGTATGTAAGAGCCGATCGCGTTTGGCCAAACGATTGAAAAGAAATAGATTTTCCGATAATATCATTTGTAATAACTCGCGATAAATATTGTCAAGGATTTTAATATATTCATCTTTATTCGATATTTTGGAGCGGATTGCGCGTTGAATATTAGCGCGGAAAGAATTTGACCGAGCGTGAACGCGATGCTGACGTTCTGCTGGATTCGCTCCAAGCTGGATGGTGAAGAGAAGAGAGAGAAGGAGAGATGAAGAAGAGGGAGTCGAAACTATCCTTATATACCCTAGCCTCTACAAGACTCCTATCGATCGGGTCGACGGTTTTCTCGAGATTTTATCCGAATGAAAACCTGCAAACCTTCCTGTATACTTTCCGCTCCAATTTAATCAATCTTAAATAATATTTAAGGACACAAAGAAGTCTGAATAAATATATACATTCTTTCTGGCCAATACAAATGTGCAAAGTACTTCAAAGTTATTATTTTAAAAAATTGTCTTCTTATTTTTCTTATTTTCTTTATCGTAATTTACAATCTGATTGCACAGCAAAAAAAGAAAAGACTATCCAATAATATTCTCGACATTTTTTTTCGTATATAATATAATATATTGATATTAATAAATTCAGAGTTAATAAAAAATTTCTGGAACACTAGTCACGATCTGTTTTGAAATTGTACGAATAAGATTTATAATCTCTAATTAAGACACACAGATCTTAAAAAATTTAAAATATTTGAGCTAAAATACCAATATTTTTTAAATAGATGCAATTTTAAAAGCAATGACAGCCTCTTACATTACAATGCGTGGATATGTTTTTCGCAGGTCCGAGCATGCTGAGGCCGCAAATGGCGCAACAGCAGCAACAGCAGGCGTTACACGCGGCCGGTGGTAATATGTACATGAGTGGTGGCGGGATGGCCGCTATCGGCAGTATGCATCAGATGCACCAACGTATAGGCTATCCGAGAACTAACAATCAACGGCCGCCCAACGTCAGCGTCGGCCCTCCGGACGGCCTTGGGAAATAGCATCGCGGGTCGCGGCCCTCAGCAGGAATGGGGACGACATGTTCTCATGCAGCAACAGCAACAGGGCTTTCAAGCGCAGATGCGATCGCAATTCAATCAGCAAGGTCACCAAGGTGAATAGCGAATAGCAATACAGAGCAATACAGAGAGACAGTGAAAAACCCTGTTGTCCGTCAAAACTATCGTTAGAAACAAAGAACGATATCAGTTACCGATCTGCTCTTATTTTTGTTTAATTTTTTTAAAACAATTTTCTCGTTTAGTCAGGTTTTTTATTTTATTTTTTTTTAATAGACGGATTACATACGAACATATAAATGCAGCAAAATATATTCGAAAAATCTCATGAAAAGTTGAACTCGTTTCAACTGAATGAATTTATTATTGTTTGTAAAAGTTATTTATACAAAATTGACATACAGGGTTTTATGAAATCGTATGATTTTTCACAGGTGGCTTTGGTATGGGTGGCGCAGGAGGCACAATGCAAATGACCGCGACGCAGATGCAGCATCAGCAGTTAATCCGTTCACAAAACGGTAATATAGCCGGCTCGGGAATGGCTAACAACACGCAGATGCAACAATTGTTGACGCAACAGCACCAACAACAAACCCTAGCTATGCAGCAGAACAACAACCAAATGTCATTGCAGATGCAGATGTCACAGACAAGTTCCGTTAATCCGATAAACGTTACTGGAACTGGTAAGTAGTCTGCGAAATGCTTTGAACGAAATAGTAAAGAAATTGCGTTTGAATGTGATTTTAATTTTTAGTTTTACAAATCAAATAAACTCTAGTATAAAATTGTTTGCTCTTCGATACTTGTACACGAATATTAACATTTGATACGTTAAGAAAAAGAGCATTATTAGAATGTCACATTGCAAAGTATCATTTTTCTTTCAAGAAGTGTGTTTTTTTAATAGATAGTTTTGAGATAAATAATGAATTTCGAATGTATCTAGGTTCTCCGTTGCATCCGCATCAGCAATACGGCGCGGGTAGCCCGGGAGTGCGGAGTCTACCGCCACTGCAGCAACACCCTCAACCGCCGCCGCCTACCGCTACTACGGATCCGTCCGTAGCGGCCAATGACTTTAGCCTCGAATTCCTGGAAAATCTTCCTACGGGAGACACGTCGAATTTCAGCGCTCAAGAATTGCTTAATTCTCTCGATTCTACGGCCGGTTTCAATCTCGATATTCTGTAATGAGATCATTACGTCTGCTCTGTGGTTGGTATGTCAACCGGTACGTCGATTTATTACAATGGGACGCGATTCTATATCAAGTATAAAATATATATACTTGGCGCGATACCGACGAATTTCACTTCGTCCGTCCGCGTATCGATCTGCTTCCCATCGTACTTGCCCTCACTGTATCACAAAAGTCGGTCTTTTTTTTTTTACACATATTATCGAAATTCAAATTTTATTTTCAATGTCTTTTTGGCATTCACAAAAATTTAATTTTTAATAAAAATTGAAATTAAAAAGAAACAATCTGAGGCGTGTTCCAATTAAATGTGCGAGTTTTATAAAATATGATGTAAAAAATAGTAACTATGTAATAGACAAATTTGCTGACTTTTTCGACCTCGCAACAATGGAACGGGCACAAGTTGGTGACATACATGAGAATATCGTGTTTATTGCAAATTAATTTGTTACACTTGACGACTGAGTGACAGTTACCTACCGGTGTGACAGCGTTTCACAACCGGTCGTAGTGCATTCTCGGTCGCCGTTTTCGCGGTCACCGACTTATTCTTCTAGGCAATCACACTTTAGTAAAATTTAATTTTGTAATAATTAACACCGCCGACAGAGGCGAGACAGTTAATCCAACGGAGATATGGTAGCGTGGGATATCAAGAGATACATGGAAATCGTTCTATATCTCTCGTTTTCTTATTTAGCAATTGCGCGCTTGAAGAAAAACGCGAAAAGCCGTGAATTCCTACTTATTCAAGTTCGCTTATGGCTATACCGAGAACGATCGATAAATTTTTTCGAGTGCTCGCGTCGACGACACTTGCGGTGACTTCGACGGGCATTCCACAAGACGATTCTCCTCTCCCTTGATCTTTCACGTCGAAATCTGCGCAACTAGATAGAGATATTGATAGAGTTGATTAGAGTTTTACTTGGCTGAACGTTTTCGGCCGCAAAAATTGGTTATCTTGCGCCAGCTTGTCGATACAAAAAAAGAATGAGAAAATTTCCTGCTAAAATCGCATTGCTAACATTAATGTAATATCTTCAAAAAAAAAGAAATCTTTATTGTAGATTTTTGAAGATTTAAAAAAAAAAACCACGAATATAATATCACGAACAAAATCAATTAAAATTCGTGCTTCAAATCGTTTGTAGCAGAATTGTTAATAATGTCATAATATAATTCAATGCTATAAGAGAGAAAAAAAATCTGCAACTAATCTTCCAAATAGCGATACATTCCATAGATAACAAAAAGAATAGCGATCTGTGGTTCGTTTAATCAAAAGTACCGTTTTTAAAGGCAAAAGGCCCAAAATAAAAAAAACTATAATATTGTATTATATAAGAGAAGCAAAGATATATTGAATCCCATGCTTAAGTGTATGTATGTATGTGCACACACATACACACACATACACATACATATATATGCATATGTACATACATACATACACGCAAAAAGCACATCCTCGATTATTCGCCGAAAGCGTGCTACGAATACTTCCTCTTTTAATCTCTTGTTTGTATTGTCTAATGAAAATTCATAATCGGCAAAATGAAATAAATTCAATCCGCGTACGCTTTGTTACACGGAAAATTCAAAAATTATAAATTATCATGATTTATCTCGCTTAATATCGATTTATTTCAAAATTAATACGCGTTATTCCGCACGTTTCTCTATTTTATCTTTCTTAATATGTATATTTCGTTACTCTATTAAAAGATCTTTGATTCGTTTCAAATCAGAATTTTATCAGTTCCATATATATATATATATATACATACATACATTATATATTATGATTATACATATATTATAATATTATATATTGTACATTATGATTACACATACACACACATATATATATGTATATATATATATATATATATGTATATATGTGTGTGTGTGTGTGTGTGTACATTATATATTATGATTATACATATAATATTATATATTTACATTATGGTTCTATATATATATATATATGCATATATATATAAACACATACAGACACACTTTTTCCATTTATGGAAAAAAGTGATATATTGAAATTTTCTATTCCGTCTTATCTTTTCTTTTTTTCCATAACTTGGAAATCTTAGAACGAAGACCGGCTGCCTCTCGCGTCTCCATCTGTGTTACGATCCTACACTAGGTCGAATAGCAGCCTAACGTTGTTGCTCGTGGGTGGGCCTCGCGGCAGGAGGATCAATATCACCGTGAGGGAGAGGAAACGAGCAGACTGAGAATGGGAGCAAGGGGGTAGGAATCGCCGCCGTTGCCGCCGCCGCGATGAGGGATAAGGATTACAAGGGCGGCGGCGGCGACGACGAAGGAGGGAGAAGGGAGGGAAATAGCGAAGGGTTTGCAAGAGAACCGCGTACCCTGAAAATGTCAATTCGCCGTTCCGGCTCCTCATGAAATTACGATCGCGATAAGGGTTGGTCCGCGTGACGACCTCGTTCGATTTACAGTCCCTCGCGCTACCGTTCCATGTTTCGTCATCATCCTGAGACGAGTCTCATTAATTTTCACGTCCAACAGAGGTCGTCGCGCCTATCCTCCACCTTCATCCCCCTGCGTTTAATCGCCTTTCGGAAATATCCGTTCCTGATTTCCATTCTTAGTTTAATGATTTGCAGCAAAATAAGCAAAATACGTCCGAAAAATCATTCCCAGGGGATATTTCCGGAAATCGTTGGCGTTTAGGGTGACCCGGTACAGCTCCGTATTCTGAGCCGGTCGTATTCGCGGCTCGTCGCGTTTCGCACGAGCTGCGCTTTCATCGATCCGATGCGCAAGCAGAACAACGATCCACTGGCCGACATTGCGCGTTTCCTCGTAACAATTCTCCGACAATGATGACGGCCGAGTCACTCGTGAAAATATATTGTGAAACGCGATATCAATTAGCGCGCTGACCTTTCGCGATGATATAACGGTGGCGCGAGGCGATTTATATATATGTGTATATATATATATATATATATATATATATGTATATATATATATATATATATATATATATATATACATATATTTGTACGAGGGATGTTCGTGATGTCGCAAAATCTTCATTCTCGATAACGAATATTTATACGAGCGCGGTAATATATCAAAATTATTATCCTGTATTCGCATTCTGAGAACGAGAAGTTGATAACTTTGGCGCTGTAATGAGTCGTCTTTTCTGAACGTCGGGAGCAATATGTTTTCACACGTTTTTCCACATCCTTTCCTTCCCTCGCAATCTTCTTTTTTCGTAAAAGAAAAAAATAAAAGAATCTTTGAACTAGAGAAGAGATTGTACACTCTAAGACACAGTCGGTCGAAAATTTAGATATCAATTAACCACCACACGGGGGATATTTAGCGGGATCAGTATTTCTACGCGAAACAGTTTTGATATATACATATACATTAGACAAAAAAAGAAGAAAAAAATGAAGTAAGTTTATAAGGAGGAAAAGGGAAGGAGGAGGATAATTATCGAAGGGAGCACGACGATGACACATAGATAGGGTGCATCGATTTCGTTTCTCTTTGTCGCTGTAAATATTGTAGACGCAAAAAAGGGAGAGAAAAGAAAAAACAGAAAGAGAAGAGAGAGTAGATAGATACATACGTATAATAAATATGAGCCGGTTTTTCGTTGACGATGTCATTGCGATGATCGACGATCGCGCAGACGGCTCCTCCCTTCGGACGCGTTCGAAGCGAATATGACAGAGACGATTCTCTACCAGCGAAAAAAAATCTTGCCGGTCCAGCGAATCGCTCTCTGCGAAGCGTCAAGATACCATACATGTATATTTATGCGAAACGACGCACCGCCCTGGGAATTATTGAAACGTCGTCTTTCGAGACTCGTCATTTCGCAGAGGAGAGCCGACGTGTGCTCCGAATTCTAAAATTATTATCTTCGTATGTATATATATATAGCAGGAAGCCGCGGAAAAAAAGAATTGCGTCGATTTCGCGCGGAAGGCACGATCGAGAAAAGTTACTCCTTTCGCCGAGAATCGCTTTCGCGACGCGAAGGCGATGCGTTCGTGTGCGAGTTGTGTGTGTATGTGTGTGAGTGTGTGTATTTTATGTGATGATTGTTTTATATTTATTGTTAATGCTTAACTTATATATTCATTGTTAATAATGAATATAAAACGCATCCTTCTCGAAAGGAACAGACAGCGTCGATCGATTTAATCCTCCGATTTATTATTTAGATATTACTGTTCATTTCACCCTCTTGTTGATATTGCAAGCAAATCGATGGATCTTTTTCTAATTTTGTGAAGGGAGGATTAATTAAAGAAGCGTAACATATGCGTCTGCCTCGTTGATTGTCATTGATCATCGAGTGATTCGCATAAAACGCAAAAGTGATCGAGCGAGGCAGCAATAAAAGAAAGAGAACGAAAGTAAAGAGAAGCGAACGCGAATGAAAGAAAATGTGCGTGAAAGAGAGAAAGCGAATCTGTAAATAATAGTGTTGCATTATTATTTATGTTGCTACGCCGTGGCGAGTAATAGTAAATTATCGTAACGATACGTAATTTAAAAAAAAAAGAAGAAAAAACAGGAAGCGAGGATTATACACGCACGGAAAATATGTACATAAGTTATAGGTATATCTCTCTCCTAATAAAGGAAACTTTTACGGATAGTTATTTTTATTACTATTATATTAAGTATATAATATGATTACATATTATTATAATATTATTATATTATAATATACAATGATTATATATTATTATCATTATATATTATTAGTTAATTACTATGGTCATTATTAATATTATTATTAGCATTGTTATTCTTCGGCCAATGATCTCAAAAGAAAAATAGTAATTGCGTTCATATGAGAATGCGCCGATTTTTGGAAATTTATTCGACACCACGCGCATGAAACGGTACCTTCGTTGATGATGAAATGATGATTTTTATGTTTTAAAACGAGTTTTATTTCTGGCCTACGTACTCTCTAAACATGTTTATGACACACAGTCCATGCATACACCTTAGAATGTGTCTCATTGTATCTTTTTTTTTTTTTTTTTTATTATTAAATCTACGTTTCTTGTGCAACGCATTCCAAAAAAGAAATTTCTCCGGGATAATTTTCTTTTATTGCATAAGAAACGTATATAAGATTTAATTTCACTTTCGATTATACTGTATGTAATAATTTAATCAATTATTTTTTAAACAAGTGG